CCCCTGGATCATGTCGAATTTATGGATCTCTTTGGCATAGTACTCCGACTCAGTGTTCTCCTGAGTGCAGCCTTCCTCCCTCTCCCCGTGCATCTCTTCCAGCAACTCCCGGGTGCTGTTGTAAAGTGCCAGGACCTGATAGGGGACGTGGGTCATCACCGATGGCTCAGGGGGACTGGTGAGCCTGAGCTTGCTCAAGATCTGTCCCCTAATGGCTTCCACCCTTTTCTTCTTGATGTGGCCGAAGTCCAAGGTGGTGCAAGTGGACAGAGAGAAGCTTACTGTGGCCAAGTTCAGTAGGGCCAGGACCACCAGAGCCCTTTGCAAGAGCATCTTCGTGTATGAGCCCAGGAGCGAGGCCAGGGGGTGGGGGAGGCCTGGCAAGGAGGAGACCCCAGTAGAAAGAGGGAGGAAAACCAGGCGTCCTCCCCAGATCCCAAAGACTGAGGCTTGGCAAGAGGGTGCATGAACTCACTGCACTGTGAGGGCTTCAGGACTCCCAGGAAGCGCTGGCTGTCCCAGGACGAAGTAGCGGACTGTGGGCGATGTAGCGCTGGGATTCTTGTCCATATGTCTAAACAGGTTCTGCTGGGCTCTGGCTCCCAGCAGGCCAGGTAGAGGGCAAGCCGAGGTTTGGGAGGGGTGGCAGGGCAGCTGGGAGTGAGCTGGAGTTTTTCCTTAGGTAAAAATAAATAGAGCGGATATCTGATATTGCCAAACGCTGCTTGGTGATGAGGAGAAAGTGGGTATTTTAAAGAAAGTGCAGAAGGGCCATGGCTGGGTCCCCCAAATCAGAATCTTTGCCTTGCCCGGAAGAAGAATAAGAAAAGAGAATGGAAAAGAAAAAATGTTTAAAAAAAAAATCACCAGTGGGTATGTAGGGAGAGGCTGGGCTGGGCAGCCGCAGGCCCAGCTAAAGGTGGGGGCAGTGCAGGACACACTTGTCTCCATTCATGCTTTCCCTTTTGTTTACACTTCCTCGGGGGTTTTCTAAATGGCTCTGTTCACGCTGCCTCTCCTCTTCATTGGCTGGGATGAGAGATTATGTGCAATGGCAAGCAGAGAGGACAGGCCTCTTGGAGACAGCTCGGATAATCCACTTGGACCCACAGTCACCAGCATCTTAGCTTGTCTTCTCCCTCGGCCATGGCTTCTGTCCCTTGCTTCTCTTTTGGGGTTGGGGGGGGATCAAAAGGCAAAGAAAATAGAAGCCGATTCACCGCAGCTGACTCCGGAAAGCGTTATTCCTTCCTCCGCAAGCCTCTTCTCATTTCGTGTCTTGCCTCTCTGTGGCTCAGTCCCCTACACTCGGCCCTCTCCTTCCCTCCCTTTCTCTTTCCCCTTCTCTCTCTCCCTCTCCTCCCTCTCTCTCTCTCTCTCACACACACACATGCACACACACTGCTTTCTCTATTTCTCTCTGCTGAAATTTTATACCTCCCTCCCATGACGTCTCGGCCTGGGGTGGGGGAGGGAGGGAGGGAGGGACCAGCGCACGCAGCCTCTCTCGCTACACGGTTTTAATGTTTTAAACAGGCACAGGAAAAGCCGAGCCCATTTGAAAAATACTTTGCGAGTCCTCTGGTTCGACGTGGTAACTGAACTTTTTTTCCCCTCCTCTTGGAGTCATTCCTGCTACACGTTGGCTGTTTTTCTGGAAAGTTACTCCCGAGCCCCCTCCCTCCTGCTACCCCGGCCCCTGTGCGCCGGGGCCAGCTGTCAGTCCCCGCTCTCCGCCCCGCTCTCTTGCCTCCCCGCGACCCCGATCGCCCCCGGGCCGGGCCGGGGACACACACAAGGTCTGCGAGGGGAGTGGAGCCGGGCGGCAGGGCCACTCTCTCCAGGCCCGAGGGTGGAACCCGGCTCGGCCGCGATCCTGGCTGCGGTTCTTCATTGACCATCCGGGAGCCGGGCGGCTGCAGCTTGGATAAACGATGGCGCTTTCCGGAAGGCCGAGGGTGCCCTCTGGCGAGGCCGGGCCGCCAGTGACGGAGGCTCGGTGGCTCGGTCCGGTGGGACTGCGAGCACCACTAGATCCTGCGGTCCCTTCCCGGACGACTCAGCACCTGGCCCCAGCCCATTTCCCAGCCGGATTTCTAGGTCCCCCCGTGCTCCCACCCCCCACCATGAGCAGCTTAAGTCAGGCCAGACCCAGACCGAGCTGCCCATTTTCTTCCCACATCTCATCATAGCCTTCCTGGACCCTTTCCGAGAGGCCAGGCTCAGAAGTCTCCATTGAAGGGATGTCAATTACAATTACAATTATGGAAACTGAGGCACAATTCACGTTTTTTTCAAAGTCACACTTCGTGTGGGTAGTGGAGATGTCTATCACAGGCTGTCTAATCAGAAAAGGCATTATTTTTAACTTGTAGCTTGGCAGACTATGAGGAGATCTAGGTTACAGAGACCTTAAAAAATGATTTCTTTAAGGTCACATAGCTCTTAGGTGTCAATACCACCATTCGGGCCTTGCCTGTTCATTGCCAGTTTCTACTTTGCTATGTTTGCTTCTGCAATTTGAGAAATAGATTTTTTTTTCAAGGCATTGTTTCTCTGTGTAGCCCTGGCTGTCCTGGAACTTGCTCTGTAGAGCAGGCTGGTCTCAAACTCAGAGATCTACCTGGTTCTGCCTCCTGAGTGCTGGGATCAAAGGTGTGCACCACCACCATTAGGTTGAGAAATAGATTTTTTTAAAGAAGTGTGTGTTGTGTGTGTGTGTGTGTGTGTGTGTGTGTGTGTGTGTGTGTGCATGTCCATGTGAACTTGTGTGAAGGTACTGTTGGAAGCCAGACAAGGGCAGCCATTCCTCTGGAGCTGGAGTTAGAGCTGCCTAGCACAGATGCTGGGAGTCCAGCCCTGGTCTTCTGCAAGGGCAGTGTGTGCTCTTAATTGCTGACACCTCTCCAGCCCTGAAGGATAGCCTTGGTGTCTACTACATGCCCTGCTCTGTTCTAGGCACTGAGGATAAGTCAATGAACAAAACAGAACTTGCTTTTATGGAATTTGCATTTCCCAATGGGGAAAGGATGGTAAAACATTAAATATATATGATGGGACAGGGTAGGGGAAGGAGAGTGCCCAGATTGGGGGATGTTGAAATTTAAAATGAAGTGACAACACAGGAGGCAAAGGTATTGAGGGAATGAATTCTTTTCCAGGCTATACACCTTCTGCCTCGATCACACCTGTGTCTCCAGGGCAGCTATATTTTTAAACTCACTTCTCAAATGGTTCAAGTGCTGGGTAAGGTTTGCCAGCCCCTGCTTGCTGGGGATTCTCTTTGCCCAGGGTGAGTACCATTCACCCTTTGTTTTCTCAAAGTTGGGGAAGAAGTGGGCGGGAGCTTACAAGAAATTGAAATATCCAAGCATTAATCCCTTCTTGCGTAACCGGTGCCACAGAAGAAGGAGCAAGGGAATAGTTGATGCCTCTATCGAAGCTGTCTGAGATTTTTGGCAATGATTGTTGCATCAGATTAAAATCTAACAAAATATTCTTGATGAGAAGCAAGTAGGAATCTCAGAGAAATCTCCACAGGTCATCCCAGGGGAGGATACTCAGGTCAAACAAAGCTGGGATGAGAAATCAACTCCTCTGACTCTCTGGGCCATTGTGTCTTCGGGCAAGAGAATTCTTGGTCTTACTCAGTGATCATGGGGGAATGAATCCTTGTGTTGGGTGTCACTTGTTGAGTACTGGAGCAATGTTTGCCATTCAGCTCCTCCCACTTTCAAGTCCTCATTTTGAACCTGTAGCCATCCACACACCATTTTCTGTGGGTCCCAGTGACCAATGCCAAGAATTGGCCAGAGACGTTGGTTTAGGGGTCTTATGCTTAGGGGTCTTATATGGAATATGAGTCAATAAAGACTCAACCTGTCTACCTGACTGTCAATCCATGGGATAGCTCCTTCTGCAGGCCCAGGAGGATGGTGGGCAGCCATTATGTGTTGGAAAAGAACACTGCAGTAGAATGTAGTATTACAAGGGCTGGCCCAGCACTTAGTGCTAGAGTTATTTTGTTCCAGCTATCTGTCCTCCTGAGTAAAGGAGCTATTGTTGATCACTTTGTGGTGTTGTTCAGATTAAATAAGACCCCTAATGTTGTATGCTCTTTTTTTTTTTTAAGAAGAAGAAGAAGGAGGAGGAGAAGGAGGAGAAGGGTCTCACTGTGTTGCCAAGGCTGGACTCAAACTTCTGGGCGTACACGATCCACCTGAGTAGCAGTGACATGACTTCTGTCACCATGTTCCACTATATTTATACTTTTAAGAGTGATTAGTGCTCGGGTATTGGATATTTTAATCTGTCCTCTAAATAAACTTTGCTTTCAAACACAGAGTTTCATGTAACCCAGTCTCACCTCCCAAACTCACTATGTAGCTGAGGATGACATTGAACTCCTGATTTTCCTGACTCTAACTCCCAAGTGCTGGAATTACAGGCATGCATAAATAAACTTCTTAAAGGCAGAAATCACATACTCCACATTTTTGCAAGTCCTTGTAAACGTTGTAAACTTTATTACTTAGTGTTCATCTGTCAAATGGAAATAATACTACGTGTTCTGCCCTCCACAGTTGTTATATCCTTCACTAGAGCAGTATTTTAAAGGCCTTTCTACATTTCGAATGGGAGGGGTCAGAATAATCAACAGTGGTGCCTGCTCTCACTCATAAACATATTTAACCATATGTAGGCAGTCCCAAAGGCTAACCTAGCTGGAGCATCTGGAGCGGATTTTGGCATCTGGAGATTTGTTTTGTTTTCCCTAAGCCAAGCAAAGCTGGTTTAGAAAAGACCTGGTTTAAACTGGAAGGTGACATGCAAGACCCAGAAACTGTGAGGCGGGCTCTTTAAGGTGGAAGGGCGGGGTCGTTGTTAGGGACGCGGCGCAGAGTCTTGTTTCCAGGAAGTGACATCAGCGGCCGCGGAGATGGACGATTTACTGGACCTGGGAGAGGAGAGACGTCGCAGCTCGGCCACCTCCGTGAGGAGCGATGATGGGGGCTGGGGGCTGGTTCAACGGGTGGGACAAGTGTCGGAAAAACCCGGAGTCGGGACAGATCTCGGCTCAGCTGCCGGAGTGCGAACCCCGTCTTGACCGAGGGTGTGCGCCCCGAGCCACGCCCGCCCGAGCCCTGGAGTCTAGTCCCCGGAAGTTCTCCCGAAAGCTGCTAGGAAGAGAGGTGGCTGGGATTGTCCTTTCCTCTCTTAACTCCCCTTCCCAGGATTGGAAATGAATACTCCAGTTTATTACGTGTGTGTGTGTGATAACAACTGGGCAAAAACAACAACAAAACCGTTGATGGGCCAGAATACACCTAGCCCAGGATTCCTTGCTGGTGGAATGGAGGCGGCTGTGGCTGAGCAGGTGAAATTGGGTATTTACCGCAGCGCCTGACCTTCGCTGCTGGCCATGACCAGCATCTAGCCAGTAGATCATAGAACTTGATTAAAGACCTACATTCAGTGTTTTCTGACTGTCAAAGCCTCTAGATCTCCAAAGCTTTTAGAGTTAGTTGAGACCACTGAAAGATTGGGTCACCTGGCAAGTCCTTAGATTCTCCTGTAAAATCTCAGGTGTTTTGAAGGGCTCTGGTAGCATCCGATGCCCTCCAAGGTGCTAGAGAGGCCCCAATGGAGGGAGATAAGATGGGCAGGAGCCAATTGGTTGAGCAGGGGTTTTTTTATTTTTGTTTTTTAAAGCTAAGGACAATAGGCCATCGGGTCTTTCTGATACATGGACCTTTTTAGTAACTGGGATATCAATGTAGTGATTTAGTCATTCGTTTCACAAATGTGTGTTGAGCCCTACTATGTATCAGACTTTGTTCTAGTCAGAGAACGCAAAGTCACTGACCTTTGCCTTGGGGGTGGTGGTGAAGACAGTAAACAGATTGCCCTTAAAGTACGGGATCTCAGGTTGTAAAGTGGTTTTCTATGTTGCCAATTTATAGCGTCTTCAAATATCTCCAACTTTAACAATTGTTAGAGCAGTCGCTTGTCAACAGCATCTACAGATACCGTCACTAATCTCTGTTTTAAGGTAGCCACTGTAGGATCAGTACCATCCCGGAGAAGGGAATGAGCTGGTATTATCAGAAAGATTGTTCACACCACCCTTGGAAGATTGACATCCCAACTTGAAGGATTGATAAATGCAATCTGGCACCCAGATCCTACTTTAGTGGGGTTTTTTTTGTTGTTTGTTTTTTTCTTTTTTTTTTTTTTTATGCAGCACTCCTAAAAACTTTCCTTCTTAGAACACTTAGCACTGAGTTTTCAGCGGGGTGAGATGGGACAAATCCAGGATTCAAAGCCCCAAGAAGACTCTGCTACATAATCACTTCCTTGGGCCTCAGTTTCCTCTTTTATGGTGTCAATTTTGGTCTTTGTCCATACTATGATGAGATTCAAACAGAGCCACAGTAAAGGAGACTTGAAAGTGCTATGCTATGCTGAGTTTTATTTTTTTTAAGTAAATGATCATTCATAGACACTCTTCACTCATTATTATGCCGCAGAGTTTTATTTTTGTCCTGAGGAATGTTGGGGACAGAGCCCCTACCCACTTGGAGGGCTTGGGGAACGCCTGCAAATGCTTCATCAGGTGACTCAGAACCTTGAAGTGCTCTAGTTTCCAAAGGTGATGTCTCAGCATTCCTGT